AGGTTGTTTGTTTTGGTTTTTTTTAATACAATGATTTTACTGGACTATAAATAGGTGGAATAATGAAACCAGGTGTTTTGATCTCCTTCTGTTCAGGGTTTCATGACACAAAACACGCCTAAGCAGAACGAGCACTGTCTGAAGAACTTCGACCTGACCGAGTACCGCCAGGTGCTGAGCCACCTCTCCATCCAGATCTACCAGCAGCTCATTAAGATAGCAGAGGGCATACTCCAACCCATGATCGGTAAGTTCACAGCACATTAGCTTTTAGGAGGGTTTGTTTTTTGGGTTTTTTTTGCTGTAATTACATACTCTGAGTGTTTTTTCAGACCTTTGTACGGTGCTAGCGTGACTTCTCCCCAAAGGAAAAGCCTGCAGTTGGTAGAGAGGCATATGTCGCAAAAAAAGGCTTGGTTTGGAGCAGGTCCTCGTGTTAGCAGTGACCTGGAGTTAGGGAGGCAGACCTGGATGGGTTTTTATTTTCCCCCGTGATAGAAACTAATAGGGATGAGGGTTCCCCCCCCCCCAGTGATAGAAGATATCTCCTTCCTTTCTGTTGGGGAGGTACTGACAGAGGTGAGGTGGTGCTGGTGGGTCCGTAGGAACAGCGTCGCCCTCCAGACCAGGTTCACGGTTAAGCTTTTTGTGGGTGGAAATGCACATTATGAGGGAGGGGAGAATTGGGAAGAGGAGAAAGAGACTAGTAAAGACCTTGTTTTGCAAGGGTGAGTCAGTATGAGAAGATTTACATCCTCAGCTAAATCTGTCCTCCTCTTTTATAAGCTAATTGAGGGGCTGTTCTCAGTGCTTTATATTTTTTGGCTGCTGGTGTTTTCCTTGAGCTCCCAGCCTGGGCTCCTCTGTATCTGGGACTTTCCCTTTACCCTCCAAATGTCACTGCACAAATTCTGGCTGTATCCGACGGCACCACCTCCTACCATCGCTGCACGTACCTCCTGCTCCTTGCAGAAAGTTGTCCCGTTCCTCTATCAGTTAGTCAGGCTGGAAGAATTTTCTTACTTTTAATCTATCTTCATTTCTCCCAATCCTTTGAGCCAATTAATCACTTTAACTGCAGAATTTAAGGCTCTGTGGTGGGTATAGAGGGAGAATTGATTACAGCTCAAAGGAGGGGTGTTCCCAGTTTCTGCAGCATGGTAAGTGATTTCTGTGTAGTAACACCGAGTGGGAAAAGAAGTGTGATCTTACAGATATTCTATATACATCACCTATTTCATATTATCAGAATAGACTAGCAATTCATGGATCTGTCCTACTTTTCAGACCTCCCAGCATCCATCGCGTTGCATCACTTTGACACTGCTGCATGTTTATGGCCGCCCATGAAGGAGCATTTCTTACCTCCGGTGACTAATAGGTGGATGCAGGCTTTTTGTAGCTCATTTTTTTCCCCCTTTTTCAGTGTCTGCGGTGCTGGAAAATGAGAGCATCCAGGGGCTTTCTGGTGTCAAACCGATGGGCTACAGGAATCGCTCCTCCAGCATGGCTGATGGGGACAGCTCCTACAGCTTAGACGCAATCATTCGCCAGCTGAACACGTTCCACAGCATCATGTGTGACCAGGGTCTGGACCCAGAGATAGTGCAGCAGGTCTTCAAGCAGCTCTTCTACATGATCAACGCGGTCGCCCTGAACAACCTCCTGCTGAGGAAGGATGTCTGCTCGTGGAGCACGGGCATGCAGCTAAGGTGGGACACAGGCTTGGGGGCGGGGATGTACCTGCTTAAGGCATTTTTGTTAATTTTATAAGGTGGTGGAAAATAGGAAAATAAAATGCAGTGGTGTAAGGGAGGGGAGACACTGTTTGGATTCAGCGGGAGACCGATGCAGTGGCAGTTCAAACTAACCCCCATTGAATAATGCCCGTGCAGTGCAGTTTGCTGTGCCGCTTGTGAATTAAATGTGTGTTACGGTAATTATCTCTGGGGTGGGCTTTCCCCAGCCTCCCCTCACCCAGCCTGAGCGGGAAGGCTGCACAGCCCAAAGACTACATCAGGCGATGTAGGATGGATTTACTTACTGGGATGGAGAAGTCTCCGTGGTTCCCTCCCGCTGCCGTGTCTGCTGGTTTTAACGTTAACAAGTGTTGCAGCGTCAAAGGCGCCGATTCTGCAGGTGGATCTTAACCCTGTTGCTGTGTGAAGTGCCTCTGGCCTCCCGTGAGCTGCAGGCAGGCGGCAGCACGGACATCTGCTGGGCTGGGATCAGGGGCCTGCGTGCCCCATCGCTGTCTTAGCGTAGTGTTGTAATAAGGATTGAAATTTGAAAGGACAGCTAGTGCAAACCTGCCAGAAAGGGGTCATGAATACTTATCAGCCCTGGCATAAATCTGTTGGCTTACTTCTCCGTGTAAATGGTTTAAACCTCCCTTTTGCTACTCTCTCCCCTTCCCATGGTGGATCCTTTGCATGTTCCCCGTGAGCGGGCACGGGCAAAGGCATTTTTTGCGTAAGTGTTTTCAGAGGTACTTGGGTACCTTGCAGGATTTTGTTAGCATTTAAAAGCTTGCTAAAAGCTTAATTTTAATTGACTTTTAAAACTCGAATTTACCTGCTGTAGAAAAGCACATTCCTTGTGCTGTTCAGCTGTTACACGGCTCATCTATTTCTAAGGTACACAGAGTATAAATTTTGCTTTGAGTTGTTGAGTATTAAGCTTTGGTCTGGTTGTCTCTTGCCACGTGTATCACAAATATGCATCACAAAAAGCTATATCCACCAGCACTGCAACACACCTTGAGTCTCGTAGAGGATTTTTGAGATGCGGCGTCTTATCTCTCGGCTCTCAGCTCACGTCTCGTCTTGGCTGCTTACCCAGGTTTAACATAAGCCAGCTGGAGGAATGGCTGCGTGGGAAGAATCTGCAGCAGAGTGGAGCAGCACAAACTTTGGAGCCCTTGATTCAGGCGGCACAGCTGCTGCAGCTGAAAAAGAAAACCTCGGAAGATGCCGAGGCCATCTGCTCCTTGTGCACATCGCTCACGACACAGCAGGTAGGGAGCAGGGCAGAGATTTGCACCAGAGGGTGCTGGTAATTAAAGGAGTGGGAAAGGGTGGTCTCCCGGTGCCAGCTCTTCACTGCCCAGACTCAGCGTGCCATTCCCACGGTGGGGACAACTTGTCCTTTTCAGGACTGACGTTTGGCATTGACCCCTGTCAGAGGTGGTCATCGCGGCGGCTCCTCTCTTACGGTGCTGCTGGTGGCGCTGGAGCTCCAGCAGAAACGTTCACAGATGAAACCCAGCCCTGAGGAGTTCGTGGTATAAGTCAGATACTTGGGATTTTAAACCCACCTGTTGTCTTTTGCCAGGGTCTAACCTGGCTAGGTCTGCAGCGTGCCCAGCAAAGACTCATATTTGGGGCAGGAGGTTGAGAACTGCCCACTTAGGCTGGCTGGATCCCACCTGAAACTTTGAGACTCCACTCCAGGAGGATGTAAACTCATGTTCTTTGCCGCTGGATTGCCTGGCCTTAATTTGATAATGTCGTAGCAAGGGAGAAGCGAGAGGTGTGAGCTGATCTCCAGTGATTCTTGGGGATCCTTTCTCCTGTATCTCCATCTCCCCGTCTATAACGTGTTCTTGAGGGGGTGGTAGGGGAGGAGCAGGAGTGAGGTAGCATGACGAGAAGTGTTGTAGAGGCGACATCAGAAGTAGTGGGAAGTGGTCACCCATGTCACCATGTGCCAACCGAATGGAGTCCCTGTATAAATCTGATGTTCAAGTCTATTCCCAATTTACAAATGTTGCCATAAGTGACTTTGACAGGTCCGCAGATGCTTACCGTACCTTACAGCAGGCAAAGGAACAGCAGGATGATACTTGCGCTACTTCCGCTTCTCAGTAGCATCATAGGAGACTTGTTATGGCCATATCAAGACAAAATGTTAGTGATGCTTTGCATTCTGGAAAAATTTGGCTTCTCATGACCGTCTGTAATCCTATTTTGTTTTCGACAGATTGTAAAGATACTTAATCTCTACACTCCTGTGAATGAGTTTGAAGAACGTGTGACAGTAGCTTTCATACGAGACATACAGGTAAATTAAAGGGCTGTAAAGTGGAGGAGATAGTAATGACTTAATACAGATGTCATTAGTACTGACTTGGGCATTTTGTAATAGGCATGCTGCTGCATGTCGTCCTGAACTTAGTGCTCTGCGTGTGCACACGCTTACTTGCAACGTCCAGCTGCAGGGATAACCAGGCTGTTAATCACAAAGAGCAACGAGCACCTAAGCTCCCAGCTCGGCTAACGCAACGCTCTTTAGTAGCAACGCGACTCAGAAGCAAGGTTGCAGGAGTCAGCAAGGCATCGGTGGAACGGAGTTACTTCTGAGATACAAGGCAGAAGTTGGCAACTAAAGGAAAAATAAATAAATGAGAACCAAACTTCTTTTAACGCTTGCAAGGAGGAGGCAGGAAATGGAAACAGAAACGTGTTCAACTACGCCTAGAATATACCTCCATCACCGAGCGGCTGAACCAAAAGCGCTGTGCTGGTATCCTGCAGTGCTGCTTTTGCTGTGCAAGGGGGTCGTGTTGTTTCCAAGTCCTGTGTCTCGCTTTGTGGTCACGTAGAAAATGTAGCCAGGTTCTTCTGAAGCGGTGTTTCCTATAGTCTGTGTAGATGTTCCTGTAAGTAGTTGCTCAGAGGAAGGCTGCTGCAATAGAGAACAAAATAGTTCTCACTGTTTTTTGCAATATCTCTAAAATTGTGTACGTTCTCAAGCCGTGATGATGACAAACATGACAAATGCAAAGAAAAAGGCAACAACTGATACTAAATTTGTTTTCTTCTCCCACACCTCATAGACGCACTTGCAAGAGCGAAATGACCCTCCGCAGCTGCTGTTAGACTTCAAGCACATGTTCCCAGTTTTGTTTCCGTTCAACCCATCCTCCATAACCATGGACTCGATTCATCTCCCTGCTTCTCTCAACTTGGGATTTCTCAATAAAGTCTGAAGAAAATATAATGAAGCCCACCTCTCCTACCCAGAGACCTCCACCGAAGAAAGAAAAGTCACGACAGGAATTTAAGGAGCTCTTTAAAGATGGACCAAACAGGTTCCTGGAAGAACCAATACACAGTAATAAATTGATGCTAAATTGTACAGTAAAAAAAGAGACTGATCTGTATGTGATTTTTTTTGGGGGGGGGGTAATTTGCAGCTCAGAATAAGGATACTTGAAATGTAGATTTATTTTTTACTGCTTGATTTTATGTTGACATAGTTCAAAGCCCATAATAGTCTCCAAAAGCCACTAACAAAAAAGAGTGGTGGGTGGGAGACGGCTTACTTTGATCTTCATAGGTGTCTATGAAGAAATGACGGTTAAATCAAAAACAAAATCTGAGACAGTTATGCTGCCTTGAAGGACACGTAATCTGTCAAACAGCTAGGTGGGTTTGTACGTGTTAATAACGGGACATGCAGTTCTGCCTCTTGTTCTTGCTAGTAACTGTCACGATAGTGAGTTCAGAAAGTAAATTGCAGAAGGTGCAATGTGTATTTATCACACCGGTTAAGGTAACGGGCTTGGACGCCGCTTGTTTCCACCGACGTGCAATTTGTCACAAATTCTATGTTTGAGAAAAGCTGTTGCTCCTCCCAACGACACCCAGTGCATCTGCTTCATGGGAATTCAAATACGTTGGCAGTTTGGATTTTCTTCCATTACCAAATTCACATCGGTGGCTATTTCCTATTTCACTAGGTTTTGTCCTAGTGAAATAATCTCGAGACAAGGGACTGCCTTAGGCCTCCTGCTTCTAGCGTGGACGAGCGTCACCCCGATCCCTGCTTTTGGCTTTCCCTGTGCTCTTAAAAGCCAAAAACCTTCATGCAGTGGCTGTCGAGGTTCTCGGACCTCTTACACGGCCCGTATCAGAATCTCACGCGTGGATAAGGCACGCTAAGGCAACCCAGTTTCATATTAGGGTCCCCAGTCCTACTTACGTTCAGTGGGTTAGTCCTAGCCATAGCAGTCCGTGGACAAATTCTGTTCACTTCAATAGCCATCCAAAATTTTACCAGTCGTGCAAATACAGGGCTTAGATAAATGAAGAATACTTAAAAAAAAAAAAGTTTTAAAACAAAAGGGAATGGATGATAAGCAATGGTATGTTTTAACATAAAAAAAAATTGTTAAGATAGCGTGTTAGTAATGTAAGCCATTTCTTTAAGAGTGAATGCAAACTCTTTGTCTACAACAACCTTAAACGAGGAATTGCAATCGGTTCAAATTCTGCATGGATTTTTTTTTTTTTTACCTAACTTACAAATTAAAACAAACCAACCCTCTGACCTCACCAGGTAGATGTTGAAAGGGGCCAGCTGCTTACAAAAGCAGTCACTGATTTTTCTCAGCCACTCTCCTTGCTGCGGAAGGGGAAAGGTGGGTTCCCGAGGCTGGGCGATGCTGACGGTGACCGGTCTGCAAACTGTTCAGAGCGGCGATGCTTCTGCCGTAGCTCGGCGTGCCAGCACGCAGCGAGGATGAGGATGTTTGGCAGCAGCGAAAGGTCCCGCTCATCCCAGCGCTGTGAGCATTTGGGCCTTTCCACTTCCACGATGGTCTTGTCCGAGCAGATCCGAACTTACCCGCTTTTGCGGTTGCGGTTCCTGAAGTCTCAGCAATTCCACGAGCTGATTAAGAGCTTTCAAAAAAACCCCTCTCTGCGTCTGGCTACTCTTAGTTGGCGTAAATCATATCCAAACAGCAGATTTATGATCAGGTACCCTGTCTGCTCAGAGGATTAAAATAGAATGTGAAGTCTCTTAAAGATACACTAAATCCCGCCATGCTGCCGTCACCTTTTTAGATAAGGAGCGTGTTTTGATTTAAACATCATGTATATAATCTGTGTATATACAAACTGTAAGAGTCCTGTATGTACTATATATGTATATTACTATCCAAAAGCACATTTTTAAAGAAGTCGTCGAGTGCTGTGAAGAATTATGTTGGTCTATGCCGGTGGGTGAATACCTTGTTTCAAATGGACTACGGTTTAGTACGGCTGTCACCAGTGAAGGACAGGCTGAAGGCCATTCCCTAGGGAGAAGTTATCTTCTCCTCTAACCATCACCCAACTAATTATGGAAGAAAATTTATTGCTTGTACAGTACCAGCACTACCTCCAAGCTACGGTCCTTGAGCATCATCTACTGCGTATATTCAGTAGTGCCTTCATCTCCCCTTCGTATACAATGAGGATACCACCACCGTTTTGCTGTCTGTGCCCAGCAAGCCCGTGCTCTTCTGTCACTCATCTGCAATATTTTTATTTATTGTACCTACCTCTTTTCACCTTTTGCAAATGAATGTTTTTGCAGTGCTCCGAATTTAATTTTTTAATTGCCTCTTATCCCTTTTTTCCACGCTATAGTAGTCATCACAGTTTAAAAATAAAAAAACATAATTCGAAGCAGAAATTCAGTCCTTCTCTAAGGCGGTTTTAACACAGAGCTACTTCTCGGAATTCACCTTAGGCCAGCGGTTTCCTCTCAGGCTCTTCAGGTCTCTACCTCTCTCTGATGGAAATTATTCGGAGTACAATTCCCGACAGATTGATTAAACCAATGCTTATCGTTCAGACTAAATGACAGGTTGCTGCAGAATCCTCTTCCGCAACGATTTTGTTGCTGATCACAGTTATAAAATGTGGTTAATGGTCTTCTAGGGGATAATGGTCTTTCACTGGCATTTTCAGGATCGTGATTTATATGTACAACACGGAGACTTTCTTAAAAACTCTTGGTACGTATAGATGGGAACGGGGATTTAATGTCTCAATCTGTGATAATGTAGCTTATCCATTAAAATCCATCTGGAAGAGGACTCTATGAAATATCTTTAATATACGTTACCTTTTCTGTTAGTAATTTTTAAAATTTGTTTTTAAATGTTCATTTTGTTAAATTGCTATGCCCGAGCGCGCCTTTCTTTCCTCAGATTGGCACTTCTTTATTTAAAAAGCAAATTTAACACAAAGCATGGCTTTGAGAAAGCTGGCTGTTTTCCAGATCTGTCTTTATTTTTAAATATTGATTATTAAGTTGAGCATTTTCCCGCTGCGTGCCTTTAGCTGTTACTAAGGTAACTGACTTCTCAACCGCTGTTTCTCTGAAACAAGTGTTAAAACGTGGGAATATTTTTATTGTTCTGTCATAAAAGGTTGTCTGTGGATTTATAAGTCTGCTTAGAAAACCTCACTCTGAGGAGGTCTGCAAAAATGCTTTTGAAGTTCCTAGGAGCAAAACCAATCCTGACCCACACTGATTTTTGCACGTATAATGTATCTCAGAAAAGCGCTATTGGGAATCAAAAAAAAACCCAACCAAAACCAAACAACCCAAACAAAACCCAAAAATGAAACCCCCAAAAAACCAAACCACACAAACCACCACCACTGTGAAACCAACGCTTCAAACGCCGAGTTCAGGCGTGTGCTGTCTGACCTACGAAAAGCATCCAGAACTATGTACGTGCTTCATTTTCACCAAAAACTTGCTTTGATTCCCCCCCCCCCCCCCCCCCTCCAAATCCTAGGAGGTGGTTGGTTTGTTTTAATGATTTCTCATGAATTTCTGATTCTTAAGCCCTAGCTGAGGTGTGTTTGTCTTCAGCAAATATGATTAGAATTGTATGTTCCCATCAAGAAACTGCCAGTTCTGTGGAGCAGAACTCTTGCAGATACCAGAAGGCCTTGGGACGGGGAGCAGAATAAAGGAGATTTTGGATAAAGATGCAAATGAGGCAGCTGCCTAGCCTGGCTAAAGGGAGGGAAGAGCAGTTAATTAAAACTGTGGAGGAGTCAGATAGTCAGTGTAAATGAAGTTTCTGCTAAGCAGTGAAGGAGAGAACCACGTTTTTGTGGGGTTTAACTACCTGATCATATTAAACTCAGGATTGGGGCGCTGCTGCTTGGAGGCAACTCAGCAGGCTGCAGAAAAACAAGATTGATGTGGTCATTTCTTGGCTGTGATCATGCTGTGTATGTTAGAACTCTTGAAGTGGCCAAATGAATGGTCAAATACATTTGACAAAACAGAGAAAGGTCTAGCAGTTTGGGGGAGGAAGAGTGCTGAGATAGGGAAATCATGTTAATGCCCTGATGGAGTGAAAGTCAGCCAGTTACTTGATATCAGAGAAATCACATCGGAGGGAAATTTTATAAATGCTGTAACTACAGGAAAAAACAAGCATCTCTTTGGAGGCAAAAAATTGTATTTCTCAGTCCTGGGCTTGCTCTTGTTTGGCTCTCTGGTGTCTAATAAGATAAAAATGCCAACTGAAGTTTTTTTCCTCAAGATCTTCATAAAACTGTCTCATCTATGGATTCTTTGGTACCTAACATCAAAGGTACGCTTCTACTACAGTGTTAGTGTACTGAAATTAAGAACTTGACTGTATGCCAAGTACACAGAGACTTAAGGCAGTTGTGGTGTTTGTAGCAATGCTTTGTTCGCTTTGGAGGATGTCAATTAAGATTTCTTATTAGCAGTGAGCACTTCTCTAAAAACAGATTATTTAGATTATTTAGATCTGTTTGATAATCACGTGTCAAAAGAACAGACTATTGATGGTTAAAAAGCAATTCTGAGGTCTCCAGGCCAGAAGATCCTTTTCCATGTATGGAGATGGCTGCAGTAAACAGAGTAGCATCTCCTGGGGTAGTAGCTTGAAAAGCCACATTTCCTTCTTTGTGCGTCTTCATATGTTTTCCCTTTGTCATTTCCTTAGTTCTTTCTCTTTTAATAAAAGTGGCTAATGTAGAATATCAGCATGAATAAATTATAATGCTTTAAAGAAGTGGAACTAATCAAATGTGTCTGTAGTCAACCAGTTTTCTGCCCAATTATCTCACATTCTGTGAGATAATTTTGTCACCTTTTTAGGTTACAACAGTATTTTCCTGTATACAAAACCAGTGCTTAGTGCAATTAAGCTGAGCATAGTTGGAATCCTTGAACACTTTTAGTCAGTGGAAACATGGCATAAAAAGGACTGAATTAAAAAAAAAAAAGTGGGTAAGTTGGGGGTTTATAACAATGAATAGCACTAGTTGTGCTAAGCTGCCAGCAGAACAGTATCAATAGGAAAATGGCTGACAAAACTTCATCACAAGACCCAGCGATTCTGTTTCTCTGACTGAAAAATAAGAGGAAGTAGATGCATGCCTCTGCTTAAATATGAAGCAGCACAGAGTTGAAATTGAGATGACGTTTAGTTCTACTTCTGTACTGGGATAAGGGCCCTATTATACCAAATACTGTGCAAATTGCCTGCTCGATTATATAGATAATTGCCAATCATCCCCCAAAGTAGTTGTTTTTAGCAAACTCTGACGTGAAACTTTAATTAATAGAATTTTCGGGAGTATCCATGAACAGATAGAGTAGAATAATTTTGAGGTAAAATATTGTTAAGACAAAAATGAAATCGCTGAAAAAAACCACAGAGAATACAGGCTGTTTGGAGGCTATTGTGAAAAGGCCTTGCTTATAAAGTCTGGAATAAATACTACTAAACTATCAAGTTCTGGATGTTTAGGTGAACAGAATCACAAGCTTTCCTTAGCTTGGCCAATAAAGAATCTAATTGTTGTCCATGCTCTGGATTCATCATTTTTGAGATCCAAGGATTTCATTCATGTCATACATCAAAGCTTAATAGTCCAGGTCTGAATGTTCCATGGTCATTTTCATGTGTAGATCTTTCATAGATCAAAGCATAAAGCTGTCCTTAGACTGTTTTCAATTTGTGAATGTAAATGGAAATTCTTTAAACACCCCACCCCCCCACCCCCCACAAAAAAAATTACATGTAAAGTGTTTAATCATGAAAAGGTAGCTGTAAATTATTTCATATTTTTTCTTAAAACTTTTCATCTATACAAGTCTTTTTTATTATAAATGTATCTAATTTACTATGTTTTTAATTTTTGTAGTTTACTGGTTTCCACTGTTTTTAACTCTCAAACATTTACAAATAACAAAACAATGTTGTTTTTCTCATAAAATATCTGGTATTTATCTTTATTTCAAGGAGCTTTATCTAGAACATGCTTGTAATAATCATGTAGTGCCTGTAATTGGTTAACAAAAATCCTTCAGTTTAAAAAAAGGAGTAATAAACAATTTTGTGTGTCTGTGCTGATAGTGCTGGGTGAGGGGAAGGAAAGAATGATGGAAGGAGTTTATGCAAGAAGCACATACATAGCCAGCAGTCTATGTGGAAATCTGTTTTTTTCTTTCAAATGTGGTTTGGAAAATCAAAAGCCTTTCAAAACTTTTCAACAGCACCCACATCTATAAGCATCTTCTCTTCAGAAGTATTTTTTGTTCAGTATTAAATTGCTGTGGGGCATATTTATATTCAAAAAACTATACCTTTATATTATTGTTACAAAAAGTCAGGATTTTCTATAACTGTAGTATAAGCAAAAAGGTTTTCCTTTTCAAACCAATTAACAGTTCAAAAAAACCAAAACAAATCTTTTTTGCATAGAAGTTTAGTATTCACATAACTAAATGTTTCCCAGAATACGCACCTAATATGAATAATTTCCCTTTAAAAGTTGATTATTTTATAAAGGTTCAAATAAAACTTATTTTCCGTTTTACTTTATTTTTTTGAATACTTCATTGAAGCTTATTTGGTAGGCAAACAAGGAATTAGCTAACGCTGACCTGAGTTTCTTTATTTTGCTTTGATTAAAGGCAACAAAGA